TGTTCGATTTTGTCACTGTTTACTACCAAATTCGCTGGAGGAGTTTAACAAGTTAATTACCAATTTGATTCAAGTAAATGTAAAGCCTCTAATCATTTGGGAGCGGGGGGGGGGAGGGAGAGGGGGTACACTACGTCCGAAATTCGCTTGCCGCTGAGTCTTAACCTTATTACTTTACCAATTTCTTACTCACTTGAAGAATTTTTTTCTGACATCGAGTGACTTGTCCCTCGAGGCGGCTTCATCGCTCGAATAGTTTGCCAAGCGCATCTTTTTCGGGTGTTTTTCTCCGTTCCAACGATGGAATGAAAAGTGCAGCGGCCAAAGCGAATCTCATTCTAAGAAGTGCAGCGAGAAATCAAGCCAGTGTTTGTATAATGAGAAGCTCTGCAAGTCGATTTTCCAATCGGCTTTCTTTTTCTTCTGAAGCGGACTGCTGTACTCTTCCCATAATTGACTCATTTGCATTTATTGTTACTTCTTTATCTTTATCGAATTTCTATACCGCCTAACATTTAACGCCGTTCCAGGTTCTAGTGCATTCAAGGCTTAATCAACTGCAATTTCCCTAATGAGGCTTTGCACCCTTTGAGTACAAAAAAGGCCGTGGACATTTCAGTTGAACTAATTAGAAAGCTGCAGCATAATCAAACAGATGGGCTCTATGAGCTTGTTAGGGTATTTCAAAATGTCACATTAGGAAGGAATCCCTTCCAGTCTATCCGAAGTAGTGCCCCGCCGCCCCCCCCCTTTACTCGCTAAAAATGGTGTGTGCGGGGCATCAGAGGATTTCTCATGTTCGATTGCGTAAACGGCAAACAAGATGCTACTGCAATTTCGAGTGGAAGTCGAATGCGTGGCACATCCCAACGAGAGATTCATCGATGCTACTGCAACATTATTTACACTTTTAGACCCAAATTTTTGCTTAGTCAGTGAAGACTCTTCCCAACCTCCGAACCAAAAACAGTGCTGTGCACGCATTTTTTCCAGTTAAGGGTTGCATTATAATACATAGGGTGAGTTTGAACAAGGCCAGAGGTAGGAAAGCGTTTCTTGGAATCTTTCACATTTTGCCTTCAAGTTTAGTTAATATCTTTTATTAATTTGTTATAGTTACCATTGGACTCATTCTTTTTGCATTCAAAACATCCCCTTCGTTTCTTTGACCCACCAAGGAGCCTCGGAGGGTTGGTGGAATGCAGTAGTTCGCCTGAGTTACAGGCGAATTAAACTGGGTGGCGGCCCTCAGAATATAACTGTATACCTTAACTCGTTCTCTCTACGATATGACATATTTCCTCTCTCATCATCTATATCATTATGTACACCTTAACAACCTTAACTACCTTACCGTATGCATATATTCTAAATTCACACACTCAAACGAATCATGTCTTGTATCTATCTTCGTCTCATGTGAAGTTCTTCCATCTGATAGACATGACCCATGACGTAACCAAGAAAGGGGTGCGTAGGGTGTGATCGTCAACTAAGCTGAAGCTTATAAGACGCTTATAAATAGATCTACATAATCAACGAGGCGAGCTTCTTCTTACCTCTGCATCGGCCTCTCGTATCCCTTCATACGAGCGGAAGAAGCCTCATTCCACTCAAGAGCTTTTGTTCTATTTTTTTTTCTTTTTCTTACCTTTTTTCCACAACTCACACATGATTTGTCATCGCTAGTTTCGAGCAATCCGCTTGGTGCTCGTAATGTTATGAATTATTTCCTGGCACGTCCGCTAGACCTCTGAGTGCTCGCACCTTTTCTGGGCCATATCGTCAATCAAAACTCCAGTGGGCTTTTTACGTCAGAGTCGCTAGCTTCATCCTAATAGGGCCGCAATCGCTGTTCTAAGTTTGTCTATGATGGAATTTGACGAGAATATTCTCAACCAAAAGCTATTTTCAGAGCTTTAAATTCATTCAAAAAGTTCTCACAATTACGCATTCTCATCTCTTAAATCGATCAGGTTGATGGTTTTTCTTTGGGAAACCTCCTAATGCTTTGCATGGAAAATCGACGCTTTCAGTCTCTTCTCTGGTCCCTTCTAGGAATACAAAAGGAGATATTTGGGAATATGCTTTGTTTTATATTCCACTGAGCCAATTTCACCGTGGTTTCTGCTGGTAAAATGCATTTCCAAATTCAGTCAAGTAGCCGTCGGACCATGAACTACCTCAAAGCATTTTGTTTTTTTAAGCTTCGAATATGGCCCGCTATAACGAATAGCCGTTTTAAGGTATAGTTAGTGCCAAGTGGCGCAGCAGCGATGCCAGCAGCTCTTTTGACTGCTTCCGATGATTCAGACGATGGCGTTTTGGAGCGGAGACCACCAAGGAGGCGATTCTTCCAGAAGTAAGTTTCGATCAGGTTTTGTTGAAATTTTATGGTACATTTTGAGATGTGAATTGCTTCTCACAAATAGGCCCTGTGGCCGCTTTGCCAAGCATTTTGGTCTTTGCACTTTTTGTTCCCTGTGGCTGAAGAGGCGCTCTTGGTTGTGGTTGTTAATTTCCTCCCGAGGAGTGCGACAAGGCGGAAGAATGCCTATTAGCACATGCTCTTCTAGATCCTGGAACAGATTAATTTTCAGGTCTGAAAGGGGTCCCAGACGATTTTTGCTCGACATCAGTTTTTGTCACTGCCTTCTACTCAGTATTTTGTCATTATCACTAATCTATGTGGCCATGAACACCTACACACTAACGAAGCACTACGCGGAACTGCAAGAAAGTTTTTCCAGTAGGTTTTTTTCGCATCAATATGAATCACTTAGGACTCGGAAGAGAGCAGCTCTTTGAGTGGGTACTTTATCGATCAACGGCAGTTAAGAAGAGTCTCTCGAGGAGATCGTTATAGCTTTGAAGAGGTTCTTGAGCGTGTTTAAGTGCAGCGGTTCCAGCGGTCACGCAGCTCACAACTCGACTAGAGTCCATCGAATTCGGCATGAACAGATTGCGCCTTGAGTTCGATTTCTGGAAAGAAAACTCGTCCAATGACACCACAACACACGACGCCACCGACTATGTCTATGACGTGATGAAGAGATTATCGCTAGACATCCGAGAAATGAAGAAACGAGTCGAAGTGGTGAGCGCTTTTCTCACTTTTTCGGATATTTTGGTGGTTAACAGAATTGAATGCCCATAATTGCAAGAGGAGCTTTTAAAGTTTTAGTGAGGAAATTAGGGGAACGTATTTTTCGGTGAAGCTTTGTTTTAATTCTGTGCTGAGGGCAGGTGGTACGCTAAATTGGCCATCCGTTATGAATGAAAGTAGAGCTGCTAAACGAAGGAAAACCCGTAAGGAAAAAGCTAGGAACGGTCAAAAACCCACAAAATGGACCTTGTTTTCGCGCTGATTCCTTGCGCTGGTAGCACCGATGGAACCTCGGTGGTTTCCGAAGGGTTCATTGGGTCAACGTCAACGCTCTACTCCGCGTTCCTACTAGAACGGCTAGAAGCTGACAAGGGAGGTCTTTCAACGCAAGGTGCGCTTTTCGGAAACGGCTCAGTACATGTTCTAGGGACGCTTATATGGAACACAAAACCATGTTTCGTTTTCGCTGAACGGTTTTAGTAGTGCCAAAAAAGTGGTGAATAGTACAGTGTGTGGCCGGCAATGTTCGTCACTTCAAAGTGGTCCTGACGATGAATTTGACATTTGGTTTTTGATATTTAGCGCGATTTGGCACCAAACCGTAGGCGCAACCCAAATGAAAATTTAGTCGCCACGGGGGATCGAACCCTTAACAGTAACCTTATGCTTCTTTTTTGGTACTGCTATGACAGTTCAGCGAAAAATGAAACATGGTTTTATGGTCCGTACATGCGTCCCTACAATATGCAGAAGACCGTTTTGAAAAACGTACCTTGTCCTGAAAGACCCCTCTTGTGAGAGCCAAGCACCAGCAGCTGGGCTAGAGAAAGGAGGTGCGACCAGCGGCGAAAGCGTTTACATGGGGGAGCAAAGCCTTGTCACGCCGCTAAAAACGGTTCAACTGAGCGAAAAGCGCCACTTCTGTATCCCTTGGTGGTTCAGTCTTTCTTTATTGCAGGGCTTATTCTTCTCATACATCCGAATGTCGCTTGCCTTCTTGACTAATGGTTCATATCAGTGTACCAAAATTTCAAGTCAACATAGAATGGAAACGATAAATAGCCATAATTTTCTGGAGGCGTTCGCTTTCCTCGAGTTGGTGCGTCATAAGCCTGAGATATGTCTTCCTCAGACAGAGAATGGTGAACCAAACTTATGGAGATGGCGCGCGAGGGGTAGAATTGAATGAATCATCCTTCATCCTGTGTCAGGACAATTACAATGAGTTTCAACGACTGGGTGTTACTAGAACTCTCGCTGTTGCGTCTATTTCACTGGTTCATGTTGGAGAACGAAATCCTTACAAGGGAGGTCGTACAGGGTGGTGCCAAGCTTTTTCAAAATGAGTTTCTTGCATGATATAGGGGCACATGCAGGAACCACAGAACCATGTCCGGTTGTTTTTTCCTGAACGGCCCTCTAAAATACCAAAAAAGGGGGTCCCTAGTTCGATTCCTCGTGGTGACAAATTTTTGCATTTCGAGTTGACGTTTCAAAATTCGCGCAAAATGGAGTGAAAATTAGTACCATATTCATGATTAGGACCGTCAGTAACCCTTACAAAAGACTTTGATTAAAAAACTGGTGAAAAGGTGTGACACCAAAACGGCCCCACTGTGATGTCACAACTTTTTCACCAGTTTTTTAATCAAAGTCTATTTTAAGGGTTACTGACAGGTCCTAATCATGAATATGGTACTAATTATATGCAATCCATTTTGCGGCAATAATGGTTCAAACGTCAACTCGCAATGCCAAAAAAGTGATATCACCGACGAGGATCGACAATAGGGAAACCATATATAACCAGGTTTAAGAGAGAAGAGAACGTTCAGGAAAGACGGACCATGGTTCTTGTAGTTCCTGTAGTGCACCGGGTATAGTGCAAAGAAGCGGTTTTGAAAAAGCTTGGAAAAAGCACCGCTGACGACCTCCCTTGTTAGTGAACGCATTGCTGCTAAGACTCCGTCTACCACTATGGATCACATCCCTCTACCGACACCAGTGGACGAGGAATAGTTGGAGCAGCTGGATAATGTCGGATAGTAACACTCCCTAGCAAGGCAAAGCTGTCGACAGGGCTCATTTTCATCGTCTGATTGATTGAGAGCTGTCATCAGCAGAGAGCCAACGTTACGCTCGTCACTGCTGCCTACAGCTATCACTTCACCACAACAGGGAGACTGAATGTGTTCACAGCCTTCATATAGTAACTCGCAGGCGAACCATCAACTAAAAGCAGTCAGCCCTAACAGAAATAAAAAGTCTAAAATTCTCCATTCCACCAGTCGTGCTGATGTAGCAAATGCGCTGTTGAGCTTGTGTCCTTGTTTACTGACACACTCAATGCGATTCGGTAGTGACCTTTGAACTCGAGTTTCGCGACAGGATTGTCGGGTATTGCTGACGATCAAAGAAGCAAGGCCCCGTGCGTTGCGCAGTTCTAAATGATGGGGGTCGTATTCTAGTTTTTCAGAGGATGGGGGGTCGTATTATGGGATAGCGAAGGTGAGGAGGTTGGAAAAGGGGATCGCAATTTTGGAAGTTGGGGTAGTGGCTATGGGAGAGGGGGATCGTTTGGGCGGATTTTCTGAGGGTGGGGTAGTTAGCCTTGCATTACAAAATATTAGACAATGATATGAGCGCATCGAATATAAGTTCAATTTCAACGTGCTCAAGCAGATTAGATGGTTTGAAGTGTGAAGGCAACATCGCGGTTCATACGCTAAAGGCATGCCCCAGGATCACATTGGTGTGGCTCTTGCACACGAATGTGAATGTATTGGTGCGAAGTGGGCCGGCAGTGAAGAAAAAAGGAAAAGAATCCGTCGAAAACGCTTAGGTTAAGGGCTCACTCACCTTCCTAATCGGCTGTGCTAAGGGAATGAGAGACTAAGCGCGGAGAGGAGAGTATGAGGGCGAGTCAGCGCAACAGATGAGAATAGCGCTCGAAAACAGGCCTGTCAAAAAGAAAAACAAATCTGTAGGCTTAGAGCTCACTTGCACCAGCCGCAAGCGCTCTTGTTGTTTGATTTGATTTGATTTGATTTTATTACATGAGCGCTGTACTCATGTGGAAAACCACGGTAAAACAAATAACTAACAATCACTAATAACTGCAATGCACTCGTGAACAGAATTCGTTACTAAAGAACGTGCATAAAAACGCAAATCGAAATATAAAAGTAAACTTAGGAATGAAGTACTATGGAGAAAGCAACACAACTTTGAACAACAGATGAGAGTTAGAGAGAAAAGGTAAGCCAACAAATAATGGAAGACCTATGGCAGATGTTGGGCAACTAGTTTCCGAAAAAGAGCAAAACTTTTAGGGAAGCCTCCCCTCTTAATGATCTTGTTGAATGCAGACCCAGCACGATGACAGAAGAAATTTAATCTAAACCCTGGTGTTTGATCTGGGAATAAAAATCTTGACATTTCCGCCACGAGTCCTATTATCGCCGGGAGAAAAGAGCTTGCTTTTATCAACACATATCTTACCACAGAAAATTTTGTAAAGGACAAATAAGTCATTATTATTCCTCCTCTTCTCAAGCGTGGACAAACCTAAAATTGTGTTACGGTTGGCACTATTTGGAATTCTGGAATAGTCGTAACCATGCACTCTGATCATTAACTTTCTGGTGAAGTCATTTTGAACTTTCTCAAGCGCATTGATGAGCGAACGCTTGTGAGGAGTGTAGATAACGGTTCCATATTCTAATATAGGTCGGATGTAAGTTTTGTATGCACGAAGGAGGATAGCAGTATCCCTGCAGCATAAACCCTTGAAGAGGTTGTAAATTTTATTTGATGCCTTATTGGTGATCATGTTTATATGGTCATCAAAGGTAAGATTCCGAGTAATAATGAAGCCAAGATCAGAAATCTTTTCCACCGTTGCTAAGATCCTCCCATCAATATGATAGAAGCTACTGGGCTGAGTGGGCTGGGTACCAGAAGACAACAACAGGACTTTGGTTTTCTCCACAGAAAGGGGAAGCTCCCAGTTCTTGGACCATTCATTAACAACTTCGATTGCTTGTTGTAGCACAATTGAATCGGCTTCACTTTCAATAACCTTATAGATCTTGAGATCGTCTGCAAATATCTTACATTCTACTCCGGTTTCAGTAACTAGGGAACTAAGCTCATATGTGTAAATATTGAATAGTAACGGCGATAAAACCCCGCCCTGCGGGACGCCACTGTGAACTTGCTTTCACTTGAATATGACTCGCTGATGCGTACCTGAAATGTACGATTTGTGAGGAATTCCCTCAACCATTTCAAAAGCAATTTGTTTATCCCTACCATCTCAAGTTTCGCAAAAAGCTTGTTATGAGGAACTTTATCAAATGCTTTCATAAAGTCAAAATAGATTATGTGTACCTCTTTCTTAGCATCAAGTGCTAGGGTCCAGTCATTGAGAGCTTCAAGTAATTGTGTCACCGTGGACTTATGTTTGACGAAACCGTGCTGATTAGGACTAATTACCCCATGTTTGTCTAAGTGCTCCAAAATTTTCTTTTTAAATATTTTTTCTGCCAGTCTGGAAATGATAGAAGTAATACTAATAGGTCTATAGTTACTAACAACATCGTGAGGCTGTTTTTTGGGAATAGGGGTGACATATGAGTGTTTCCAAAGACGGGGCACTTCACTTCTAATAAGAGATAAGTTCATAATGTATTTCAAGGGACTGACAATTACATTTGCCACGCGTTTGGTTTCCGTGCACAGGAACGCCACATTGGTGACTGACCTCTAGGAGTCTATTCTACAGCCCGAAGGGAAGCGTTTACATGGTCTCTGCCTGGGCTGTGCCTTCAAAATGAGCATTTTCAGGGTTTCTCCCATTCAGGACAGGGATTGTCTCCATAGAACTGCTCTAACAGGCCCTAAGGTTCGAGCGAGTTTGCTGAAGTTGGCGGAGTTAGCAGCGCTAATATTGCTCACGATCTCGGAGTCTCCCCTACGTTGGAGGCCTATGATTACTCATTGCGTTTGCTAAAAGATGGATTTGTTTATCGTGCTTTTACGCCTTGACT